AAAAACTGTTTTGCGCTTATCAACATTTCTTTCACCGTATTTATTATAAAAGGACCAAAATTTTACAATGTATAAAGAAGAAATGTATCTACCCATTTTTCTTTTTTTTTTTGTAACATAAATACAATTCAAGTTATCTATGATCAAACATTTGCTTTTTTTTGTTGTTTTTCATTAGCTTATAAAAAAATATTGGGTAATGATATTAAAAAAACAAAAACTCTACAGCACGGATAAAGTTCTTCACAATGCTCTGTGAAATGTTGGTAACTCTACCATAAATACAGAGCGAGTAAAGTTGATACCCGCAAAACTATTTTGCTATGTTAAGAGGACGTTATACCCGTAATTTTTAGCAGTAAAAACAAGTCTACGAAAAACAAACGAAACGGCATTAAAACGTAGTTTAATAGTAAAAATATCTATTATAAAATTTATAGATAAAAGTCTCCAAAGTATTTTTATCTATAAATATCACTAATCGGGGTATTTTAAAATATTAATTATTAAAAAAGTTACAGTAATTTTAAAAATGTAAAAAAAAAGGTTTTAGTGCCTTTTATAACGACCTGTATACTTTGGATAATACAAAACCCTGATGAGGTTGTCTCCGAAATATTGTTCTCTATAAAGCTCATAATAGGTATATTTACTCTAAACCCATTTTTTAATAGTGTTTCGTAAATATGTTTACGTTGTTAGATTTAATTTTTCATCGCTGTAATGTGCTGAATAGCTATAGGTAGGTACTACGAATTTCGAGCGACAACGGACGTTTCCAGGAAAAGACTATGGACTAATTTAAACATTACAATATAGGTAGGTATTAGCTATAATAAATATTATAATGTAATAAGAATTATTTGTATTATAATCGTCGTTGACTTACCGACTAAATAACTCATATTTTGTATTGAATCATTTTTATATTAATAATATTAGTAATTTTAATATAATATTATATTCACATGATAGGTACCAGAGGTACCTACCTAAAAGAATCCATAATTTTTCCAGCAATAATCCAAATGCCTACTCATACAAAATAATTAGTATTTTTCTATAGAATACATGCTATGATTTAAAATGGTACATTTCAGTTAAAAAATACTATAAGTGGGTGTAACTATTATAAATGTATGGGTGTATGGAACTATATTAAGGTTAGAAAAAAATTTACTAAACCTACACTCTCTACTTCCTTGTGGGTCACTGTCAGGCACGTAGCCAGAAAATTTCTACTAGGGGGGCCAATAATGTTTGGCCCTTTTATTACTTTCCATAATTTTTCTTTATGAAATTCTTGTAAGGGGTAAGCAATACAAAGAATCTTATTAATTTAAATAATTTACCTTTAGTTGGTAATTGGTTAAAATTATTTTTTTCACAACAAGTTATACCTAATACTTACTTATTTAAGAATTACAAAAATAGAAAGTACCTGATAACAAAAAAAAAAAAAAAATATAGAATTATGTACATTTTCACTTATGGGATACATTTTTCATGCTATGAAAAATAAATCTACATACATACAGTGCCGCTCTAACCACCAATAACGCCCTAGGGCAACAATATTTGACGCCCCTCACCCTCCCACCAAAAAATCTCGACTTCGCATTTTTAGCTTATAATTAACCACATGTTTAATACTTATTAATTAAAGGTTCCTACTTATTTTTTTAAATATTATTATTGGGATCATATTTATTTTGTTTATATTTGAACACCGATTTCATTATTCTGGGAACACTCGTACATTACAGAAAGAAAATATATATAACTATTTTCACAAATTAGTACCTAGATCTCATTATAAATCATACATTCTGCGTTTCTGCGTGTGTAATAACAGTGTAGTATAACAATCAACATTGTAAATTGCACAAGTGAATATAAGTGATTATAAAATTCAAAGGAGGGCATTAACTAGTTGAAAAGTTAAAGTTCAGTTAAAAAGTTAATTTTTTTTAACTTTTTAACTTAACTAGTTAGTTTATTTTCTAATCAACTTATGAACTTAAATAGTTTAATTTACAATTGAAATAACTTAGCTTTTCTCAGTTGATTTAAAAAAATCCATTAAGTTAAAACATTTTGAAATTGTTCGTTTATAGGTACTTAAATATTACGGATTTCGAACGCTCATAAAAATTTAATTTGACTTTCTTATAGACATTTTTTTTTTGATAAAGGTAGATAATTTTATAAGGAATCTTGTATTACATTTTAAAATCTTAGATTTAAAAAGAAAAATTTTTACGAATTCTCAACTCAAAATAATTTGCTAATTTTCGTGATTTTTCCATATTTTTCCATATTTTGTCAATTTTTGAATATTAAATGCTTATAAAAATAATTGTGACTAAGGATTTTTAATATTTTTCATTTGCCTTTGAAACAATATACTAATATCCCTCTATTTAATTTTCAAGCTTTTTTAACCAACAAATACAATTTTATTGATATTTTTAGAATAAAAACTAAAAAAAAATGGAAAATGAAAATGTCCCTAAACAGTTCAAATTTAATCAAAATATTTTGAAAATGTTATCGTGTATACAGAATGTAAATATAAACAACCAGTGAAAATTTCTTGTATATACGTTCATTTCTTTTAGAGTTACACCAAAAATCAAAATCGATTTTTTGGAAAACAGATTTTGCGTAAAAATTCCCGTTTTTCCTTAATTTTTATGTTGTTTTTCCCGGTGCTTGTGAAAACTACTGGGAAATTTTGACCCCCCCCCACCCCCAAAGTACCAACTAGATTCACTTTCCTATCAGAAAAGATACTGTTGAAGAAAATCCAAGCACTTTTACTGTCCTAAAACGTGATGACAGACACAAAAATAAAAAAGGTACTACTAGGTACCAAAGATATGAATTAGTTTAGTTTATAAGTATATTACAATATAGTATACAGTATATTACTTAATTATTGTAATGATGTATATACATATTTAAAATATATTTCATGTGCTTAAATAAATTACTATTGTAATCTTAATAATCTTATAAATTATAAGTATTAATATTTTTATTTGTTTTTATGAATATTCAATATATTATTATTGAAGTTATGTCGCATTAAGATTTAACACATTATTTACATAATTGTATACCTACTTAATAGTATACAATTTGATAGATACTCATCTTTGATATTACAGTATAAACAAAAAAATAATACCTAAAATAAAAACACCAAATTTTTCTTTTTATCATCCATTTCTAGTACGCCCCCTAAATTCATAATACTTTAGACGCCCTAGGGCACTTGCCCCATTTGCCCCCCCCTTGGGACGGCTATGCATACATATTTAAAATAATAAGCTGCTTCAATTGTTTAACTTCTATTAACAAAAATTAATTCATATTTGAATACTTATCAAAAATAATAGAGATAAATGATCATCGATTTTTAAATTAATATAATTTTTAAAGAAACTCAAATTTATTAAAAAAAAAAAACACATACTAGTAGAAAATATCAATAATACACTTATACTTATATAAATATTAAACAGTGCAATATAAAATTATTTTTCTGTTTTTATGATTTTCTGAAAACAATTGTACAAAAATATCTAGATCTAAGTTTTTAGAATTTTTTTTTCTATGCTCATTGAAGCTAAATTATTTAAACGATCATTTGTCATGCGATTCCTCAGAAAGGTTTTCAGTCGTCTCAGACATGAAAAAGTTCTTTCGCAAGCTAACTTAGCATAGACTTATAACTGCGGCTAATATATTATTGTTTTTAAAAAGGGTATCAAGACCCTATTATATTGTAATTTTTTCAGATAAAGTTATCCACGGTTCCCCGAATATAAAAATTAAATTATTACAATAATAATTGTATTACCTAATAGTAATCACAATAGATTTTTCTCAACGTGCATAATCACATTTTTGATAATTGGTAAAAATAATTATATTTTGATTTTGGGGGGGCCGGCTCTGGGCCAGAGTATATTTAGGGTGGGACCGGCCCACCCGGGCCCCCCCTGGCTACGTGCCTGGTCACTGTAATGGCTGGTGTTAAATTTGGATTCAATGATGTAATATCATTGTATGAGGAAAACGATTCTAAGCGAAGAGTCAGTCAGCCTATGATATTACTATATTAGTAGTATATTTGTTGATATTATTGTGAATAAAGTAATTTATATAATATAACCTATTTACGTGGAACCTTGTTTTAAATTTCCAATCCTTAGATATAAAAGTTGAACATTTTATAAATGTTTATCTACAAAATAATTGTTAAATTTTAATTTTGAAAAATTTTGTCAAAATTCGAACTTTAAAAGCTTATAAAATATAGTAACAATATATCAGGACTTGTATTTCATTTTCACTCATTTTAACTAAACAAATAACATTTTAACGGCAATACCTAATAAATATAAAAAACTAAACATTTTTTTCAGTCACGAATGATTTATAAAATGATAATCAATATTATTTTTTATTTCATAGTATAGGTACAGGTTTAGGATACTTTTTCCAAAATATGTTATGAATATTTGAACGTTGAATCGTATTTATTTAATATAAACCATTTAATTATTCAATCATATTCAAAATACCTCTAAAATACATATTATTTATTTGAAATAATTTTTGTAGTAAATACAAAAGATCACGAAATATTTTATTTCTGAAAAATTATTACATAGGTAGGTAAACATGGAAATTGTTCATGTCGCCATGTCGGTAGTACCTAATCGGTAGTCGGTTAGTCTATACTAGTGGTTCTTAACCGGTGTTCCGCGGAAATTCTTTCAAAATAGAATCATTTTAGGTTTTGTTGGTTTATTTTGTTTAAAATCCTAATATCATATCTACACATTGTTTTTTACACCGAGAATCACTTATTTCGAAAACATTACCTATTACATTATAGTCTGTATTGGATAAAATTGTAAGCATGGTTAACTACATAAAATCGCGTCCATTACAATCACGCCTATTTAAAAAAACTGTGTGAATCAATGGAAGCTCAGCACGTATGTTTACTTTTACATTGTGAAGTAAGATGGTTATCGCGAGGTAAAGTTCTAAATCGAATTCTGGAACTTAAGAATGAATTGTTAATGTTTTTTCAAAACGAAGGTAACACTGTTTTTATATCTTTTCTTACAGACGATATTTGGTGTGTTAAAATGGCATATTTAGCTGATATTTTTAATTATTTAAATAGCGTAAATGCTGGTATGCAAGGTAAAAACGAAAATATTCTAACATCCACGGATAAACTGTTAACATTTTTCAAAAAAATACGGTAGACATGTTTCCTTCAATTAAAAATAATAATGAAATAATTCCTATTATAACAGAACATTTAGCATTATTAGAAGAATAAATCACGAAATACTTTCCTGAATTGAATATTGAAAAGTATGATTGGATACGAAATCCATTTTCTACCATCAACACGTCAAGTTATGAATTTACGTTAGAAGAAGAGGGAGAATTCATAACGCTAACAACAGATCGAACTCTAAAAATAAAATTTTCCGAAATAACAGTAGAAGAATTTTGGATTTCAGTTCAAACCGAATTTAAAAAAATTTCTGAAAAAGCAATTTCAATATTATTACAATTTTCAACCTCATACTTATGTGAGCTTGGATTTTCAACACTGACGAATATCAAAACAAAGAAACGAGAAAGGCTGACAAATATTGAAGAGGAAATGAGAGTAGCAATATCGTACATACATCCAGATATTGAAAATATCTGTAAAAATCATCAGGCACAAATATCTCATACAAAGTATTCGATTTCAAATTTTTAAATTTTTTTTAACTCTTTTTATTATTTTATTATTTTTTAGTGACTAACACTAACATGTATGGCATGCAAACAATTTTATGCTATACATTCATTGTTTAATATATTAAAAAATTAAAAATGTATGTACTACTATTTTATTTTACGGTTGTGTTCCGCGAAAATCTTGTAAAATGTTAAGTGTTCCATCATTCGAAAAAGATTAAGAACCACTGCTGTACTGTGTCACAGTGGCGTAATTACGGTGGTGGGAGGGTTAGATCCCCCTTGAGGCCTTGACCTTCGTTTTTGTATAGTTAAGTTTTCTTATTTTCTGTATTTCTCAATATGATATTACTACTACCTTAATGTTAAGGTTATATAAATTATATAATATTATTGTCTATTGACATCTAAGATCTAATTTGTCATGAAGGCGTATACCCACGAATATTTTTAGCAATACACCACTGGTTATCGATGAACTGAGCATCCAAAAAAATAGAAAACTGAATTTTGTATTATAACTATATTTTTTATTTATCGTATTAAACACGCGATTGGAGCTAGTATAAATTTATAATAAATTCTATTAGGTACAATTTATGTACCTTATTTCATTTTATGTATTCTTATTTCCCATTGATAAAATAACCTCCTAAATACGCCACTTCAGTGTGTCTACTCTGTACTTCTGAGGTCCAATATCAAACATACCTACCAACTTCTTTAAAATAGACAATGAACTATATCAAAATACTTAGGCGTTATATTATATAATACCAATATTAGTAATATTAATACGATATTAAATTATAATTTAATGGTAACATTGCAATAATTATGTTAAAAAATAAAAAAATAAGTAGTATGTTACTTACTTAATTATAAAAAAATGTTGGGTAAAATAAAGTTTTAATTCTAAATAACGATAAACGCAAAAATTGTACCCATACCTTTTTAATTGTACCTAAATAACGATAAAATCAAAACTATTGTGTATTTGTGTAACGTTTTATAAATAACATAAAACGAATTTTTTTTTTCAAATGCGATAATATAGGTAACTCGATAAACCTCAGACTGATAGGAAATTGATGGTAAAATTATTGTTGAAGATAGATTTTTGGGCAGTTTTCCATATATTTTTTTAGTGTTCCGATTTTTTTTTTAAGTATAGGTACCAGTAATCAACTGTGAAAGCGAACCATACTATTTTCTTCACTATCAATAATTAAAAATAAATATCGTTGCATGATGGGTGAATTATTAAATCTTTATCAAGACTTTCAATAGAGTGTGACTTGACAATGAATATTTCATTTAATTACGTTATAAGAAAATTTACAGACAAAATCCAGAAAAAAGTTTTTTAGACAATTAAATATTGATTAGATTTAAAAAATATATATTTATTAGATTCTGAACGGAGCGATGAATGTATTGATTTTTCAATGATGTTTTTTTTTATTTATGTATAGGTACACAATAAATAGTCGACATTTTCAACTTCAGTACCTATCTTGTTTTATTGAAAAATGAATATAGTTTGGAAGTTAAAATTTAAAATTAGATTAATATAAAAGGATTTTTGGCATCCCAGGGCCCTAAAATAAACCAATAAATAAATAAATTACCAATAAATTGGTAGATATTTCATATTATAGTTATTAAATAGAATAACACAATATATATGATATGTCTGAGACTTATATCTATAACTCAGGTACCTTAATTCCTGAATCCTGATATACCTACCCTTCAAAGTCTTGGAAAATTAAATATCAATGCCATATTTTTATAGGTACTAAAACATAATACCTACATAATAATAATCTTACCTAAACAATATATTTTTGTTACATAATAAGTATTTACTTATTAGTTATTACATTAAGGGGATTCGATACCGTTTCATTCGTTACCTAACCTTTCTGTTTTTGTCTAACACACGGGCGACATAGTATTTTAGACGTGTTTTTTGCCAAACATTCCAATTGATATATTGAAGCGATAAGATTTCTGAAAACAGATTTGAATTTGTCGTCAAGTCTACTTGAAATCGACTTTCCCACATTTTTAATTTTTTGATTTTAACTTCTCCAATAATTGAAATACCAGAATTTTTTAATACTCTTTTTGAATATGACATTTAAAAAAATTTGGGGGATAATATCAAAAATGTGGGAAAGTCGATTTCAAGTAGACTTGACGACAAATTCAAATCTGTTTTCAGAATTCTTATCGCTTCATTAGATCAATTGGTATGTTTGACAAAAAACACGTCTAAAATACTATGTCGAGCGTGTGTTAGACAATACAGAAAATCACGGTATCGAATTCCCTTCATATTATCTATGTTTCACTAATCTCTGGAAAATTGTTCATTGTGAGAATCTAAAAAACTTATTGGTATGATTTTAGCAAAATCTCATCAAATTCATTGATTTGATTAATTTATTTCATATTTTCATTCAACGCCCTCAGTTTTCTAAAATATCTAGATTTCTCACGAAATTTCTTGTTCATCTCACAGCTTTCATATTCAAAAAAAATCAAAATTTTTATTTTTATCTTATTTCAATCTTCTCCATTGATTTCACTTTTCCAGAACTAACTTTTCGTACTTGATAGACCACATACATTAATTCAACAATATATTATCGTACTGCAAGGTGTACAACTCATCGTTCCTATCTAATCAAAACCTGTTATACGAGGGCCCACACATGTTGCGATTTGACGTAAGATAGGTAGATTTTAATATACACGTTCAAACTTCATTTCATCATAGGTACTACACGTTGTACAACAGTACTATACACGTTATGATAATCGTTTATGAAATTGTATCAAACAAAGTTATTCAATCTGTCATACAATAAATTCGAGTATGCGCTTTAGTCTAGGCCCCATCGGCGGAAGTCCCCCAAATGTCCGTAAGCATCTCCTTTTTTAGTTTTGTTGGATCGAATGATTGATATTAATAATTTTAATGGATTTTCAGCCATGCTTAGCCCTAGAGGTACAGTATGGATACATTCTGATGTGTACAAATAAGTATATGACCAACTGATCAAGGAATATCTAAAACAAAGGGATCAATAGGAACAGATTCAGGTGGCAGTGATATAATTTACAAACACCAAAACTTATTACACAACTGATAGATTTCATATTAAATAAAATGTTATGTTGAGGAAAATGGTTCATAATCAAACTTGGTAAGTCTTTTATAATTCTGTCAATGTTTATCTTAAGCACAAAAAAAAAATAGTAATTAAATGATTCCAGAATAAGTCCACTGGCATTAAAATTATTTTCATAGTCCTATTATTTTAATGTCCATTATTTGTAAAGTCCAACCATTTTCACGTTCATTAATTTATAAGATACAACATTTTCATGTTTATTATTTAAGGAACCTACACTTTTTAAATACCATTTTTAAAATGTTTTCATCACATTGGTAAGAATGTCACATTAGTACATTTTCTGAACTAACAGTTTAAATGAATGACCAAAATTTAAAAATTCTAATTGGCTTGGTTCTAATTGACTATCACTTGCATTCAAACTTATTCAAAATAAAATATTAAATTCTACTGAATATAAAACTAACTAAAAAATATGCAACTAAGACGACGATTGTAATACATAATACAGTAATACACTATAATTTTCAATTCATCCAACGAATGGTAGATATTTACAAACACTAATAGACTAATGGAGAGATGGACATATATATTATATACTTAAGAGTGAAGGGCAACAAGTTTTAGGTTAAAGCTCTACAACCAAGAACTAGAACATGATGACAAAGACGTTAATGACACTTCAGACTTAAAGACATTTTTAAACCATTACATTCATTGTTTTATAAGACCAACAATTGTGTGATGTTAATTTGAATGGATATTAACAAAGGTGGGCAAGTTAATGAAAATAATTTACTCAAGTTAAGTTAAGAGGACACAAGATAGATAAGTTAAAAGTTAACAGTTAACAAATTATAAATTTAACTCGATAAGTTAAAAGTTAGTATAGAAAAAAATATTAACTTAACCGAGTTTAAAAAAAGTTAATTAATTTTTTTTTTAATTAGTATGTAAATCACATAAAGAGTGAATGTGTCTTTCTAGTTTCTAATTTATAAATTATAAAAAACAATTTTATTGAACTTTTATCATAATGTATACTGTTACCATTTTACTTTTCTATTACTTACTAATTTAAACTATACTCATCTCAAATTAATAATTTAACAAATTAATTTTTTATATTGTATAGCAATTGAATGTCATAATATGTGAAGATGAGTACATGATCTTCATATATAATATTATAAGTTATATAACATTAAAATATAACAATTGTCAATTTGTAGAAATAGACATTACTAACAATAGGGCTTAAGCAAATTTGATAAAGTGAACATATTATTATCATCAAACATTAAAAAAATGTTCTTAAAATACCTATGTGAACTAAAACTTATAGATATACAATC